TGTTCAAGCTTATTGGGGAACTGCATTTTCCACAGGGGCAAGGCCAGCCTAGTGATCAACTGCTCACCAGCTCTCATCAAAACGAGGGCCACTGAGAAGCTCTTGTGTCTCTTCATGAACAAAGCAGGGGACTGGGTGTGGCTAAGTTGATAGAGGCAGAGTGCTTGCTTGGCATGCACGAAGCCCTGGTTCTATGCCCAGCACGACACAGACCAGGTGTGGTGCTTCCTGCTTGTTATCCAAGCACTGGGAAGAAGGCAGAGAAGCTGGAGATCGAGGTCACTCTTGGTTGTGTAGTAAATCTGAAGCTACCCTGGGATACATGAGATCCCACCTCAAATACAAACTAATAAAGAACAAAGCAGAAATGGAAAGAGAGGCAGATCTCTGTGGATTCCAAGTTAACTGAGATACATAGTAAGCTCCTGTCTCAAATGAATGAAACAAAGAGAAGGAAGGATGAAACCAGGAATGAGAAGCTATAAACAGGGAGGAAAGGACTTGAAGACTCATCTCCACTTAACCAATGACAAGTCAGTTCCCAAGAAGAGTCCGAAAATTCCCCCTGCCTACTCCGCTAGGGCAGAGAACCACTATGGTTAAGAATGGTTGGGAGAAACTGCAGCTCTTCCTGGATTCCAATACCATCTACTGAAATTTTCTGCATTTCCAAATATTTGCAGTATGAGGTCAGAATGCACACCAATTAAATAGTCCAGGCGATAACTGAGAACACCCAGAGTGCTCACGTGATCTCCCATGTGTGTCTCTGTAAAAATGTGCCTCCTGCCCCAGGTTAGCAGTCAAAATTAGATATGCTCATTTCCCCAGTCATCCCAGTGCCCGCAGGTTGCTGGTCACAAACAAAACGCACAACCTACGGTTCCCTTCTGGCAGGTATATGTGGTCTTAGCGATGAAGCAAAAATCTGAATGAGGAATTGAAAAGCGATACTTGAAACAAAGGCACAAACACAGGAAGAGGATAGACAAAAGTCAACTGTACACCTGAAAGGCAATTACAGGTTTTGCTAATTAGCATGGGAAATGCATATCAAAATCAGAGCCTGCTGTGCATCCAGCAACCTTCATCTTTGGTCCTCAGGGTGCTGTTTGATTGCCTATTTTTCTTAGTGGACCCAAATGTTTTTAGGAGACATAGGCTCTAGGCTTTGGCACACACAATGGTGTAACACCAGACGAAATTGTTATTGGTGTGGCCCTGTAAACCCTGCAATCGTACTGAAAAAGTTTGTTCTCTTGGGTGTGCTCTTCACTGGCTCTGAAGAATATAGAAATAAGCACTGCTCTGGACAGGTGCAAATTTTTTTAAATTTATTTATTAATTTATTTATTAAAGATTTCTGTCTCTTCCCCACCGCCGCCTCCCATTTCCCTCCCCCTCTCCAAACCAAGTCCCCCTCCCTCGTCAGCCCAAAGAGCAATCAGGGTTCTCTGCCCTGTGGGAAGTCCAAGGACCACCCACCTCCATCCAGGTCTAGTAAGGTGAGCATCCAAACTGCCTAGGCTCCCACAAAGCCAATACGTGCAGTAGGATCAAAAACCCATTGCCATTGTTCTTGAGGTCTCAGTAGTCCTCATTGTCCGCTATGTTCAGCGAGACCGGTTTTATCCCGGGCTTTTTCAGACCCAGGCCAGCTGGCCTTGGTGAGTTCCTGATAGAACATCCCCATTGTCTCAGTGTGTGGGTGCACCCCTCTTGGTCCTTAGTTCCTTGCTCGTGCTCTCTCTCCTTCTGCTCCTGATTTGGACTTTGTGATTTCTGTCCTGTGCTCCAATGTGGGTCTCTGTCTCTGTCTCCTTTCATTGCCTGATGAAGGTTAATATTCAGGAGGATGCCTATATGTTTTTCTTTGGGTTCTCCTTCTTATTTAGCTTCTCTAAGATCACAAGTTATAGGCTCAATGCCCTTTATTTATGTCTAGAAGGTGCTAATTTTTGACTGCTATCAACATCACAAAAGTCAGCAGTAAAACACTTTTCTAATAGGCCCAGGTTCCCCGTTTCTAGGTAGAGCACGTTAGTCGTCTGGCGGTGACTCAGCATTCGGGAAGTGTTCACCAGGCAGTACCTGAGAGCTGCTCAAGTCACAGAAGAGCTGGGGCTCAGGGATGAAGAGCACTGGCTGCTTTCCTAGGACGCACACCATGGCTCACAACCACTTATAGCTCTAGAAGGAAGATGTGAACCACACAGACACCAGGTACAAACACATACAGCCACTCTTAGACACATACAAACTAATAAAAAAAATAAATCTTAAAAAAAAAAAAAACAAGCTGGGCGATGGTGGTACACCAGCACTTGGGAGGCAGAGGCAGGTGGATCTCTGTGAGTTTGAGGCCAGTCGGGGTCTACAAGAGCTAGTTCCAGGACAGCCAGGAGTGTTACATAGAGAAACCCTGTCATGGAAAAAAACAAACCCCACAAAAGAAGAGTTGTTAGAATCTAGCTGGAGTTAACAGAAGACAGATGCTTTGCTCCAGTCATGGACTTGCTCAGTCAATGAAGGTAACTTTAGTTTGCTAGGGAGACACTAGATAGTTGGTAGGCTTCTCTATGGGGATAAAATTATAATCAGTAAAATTTAACCCTTCAAATAGATCTCAGTCTTCATTAAGGCCTCTTCAATGTAAGAAAACAGGTTCATTTTCCATTCCAGGATGCTCAATTAAACCAAAACACAATACTTGCTAGTCTATAAATCATTTTTTTTTCCCTGTTAAAGTCTATCCTCAATAAAAATCCTAGGGTAAAACTCAGACCTAACTGACATTTTCCAAAGTAAATCACAGACACACAGCAGTAGCATTTGTTCCCCATTCAGATTCCACAACATTCTCTTTTCCAACCACAGCTTGCAGCAGGCTCCATGGTCTATGCTCAGCTGTGTGGAGCCTCTGTGGCACTGAGACAGGGCTGTGGGAACAGCCTGTCATTCTTAGTTACTCCAGTCATAAACTTTCATTTGCAGGGTCAGGTTAATGCGGCTGAGCTCCTGCATATGGGCCAAAGTGCCTCTCTTCCTCCTCTCCACCGTCTTTGTCATTCACTTCTCCCTCTGTTTTTTTCCTTCTATTAAGGTAACACACAAGTGAAAATGTATCTGCCTGCTTGTTTTTGGGAAAAGATTAAATAGTCCCCCCCCCCAAAAAAAAAGATTGGAGAAAAGTTGGTTTGCACTGGGAGCATTGGGAATGAAGTGCCATAATCTGGATGCTGAGTGACCTGCCCCCCATCCCCACCCCATGTGTCAAAGGGTATTAGGAGCAGTGGAACCTCTGGGCGGCAGGGCTTAGGTCATTAGGAATATGGATTTGAAAACTGGAATCCTGGTCTTTTTTCTTCCTTTTGCTTTCTAGCCACATGATGAATGGTCTTTGTTATACCAACATTCCCTACCATTGAACCTGGCACCCCTAGCAGACACCTAAAAGCCATGGGCCTGACTATGACCTGGAACCTCTAAAATCATGAGGTGAAATAATCTTTTTCTCTTGACACAAGATAATGTTTTCAGGCATGTTGTCACAGAGAAAGAAAGTTGACTAATATAGAAAGTTCAGGACGAATAGTAATGTCCTACAATTCTGTTTGGCTTTTACAATAAACATCCTTTCCACTTAGGAATGCCAGAATTGCAAGAGGACCAAACGTGTAACTGTGCTTAAGATGTTTCTTCTTCGGGCTGGAGAGATGGCTCAGCACTTATGAGCAAATGGCTGCTCTTCCAAATGGATCTGAGTTCAATTCCCAGCATCCACAATGGCTCACAACCATCTGTAACTCCAGTCCTAGAGGATCTGACACCCTCCTCCCTCCTCTGTGGGCACTGAATGCACAGGTGCACAGTCATACAAACAGGCAAAAGATCCACAGACATAAAAATGTTTAAAAGATGTTTCTTCTCTTACAGCACAGTGTGTCTCTAAAGCAGGACAGGGCAATTTAAGGGAGAAGGTTGTACTCTAGTTCACAGTTCCAGTGTACAGTTCACCTTAGTGGAGTCACAGCCACAGGAACCTGCCACAGGTGACCACACTGCAGCAACAACCAACCAGAGTTAGATGCTACTGCTCAGCTTGTTTTTCTCTGTCCTATTCAGTCCCAGATGCCCTGCCAAGAGAATAGTCCCAGCCACAATTTAGATGCTCTTCCCACATCTATTAATTCTCTCAGGCATGCCCAGAAGCCATCAGTGATCCTGCAGTCTATCAAGTTGAAAATAATACAGTGTTAATCAGGTACTAGGGAAGCTGTCGTGGTGGGGAGGCTGTTGTGGAACAGAGGACACCTGCTGGAATCCGTCTTGCTCTCACAAGGGTGCCACCCCGCATGTGAAGGCATTCATCAGCAGTGGAGCGAACCTTAGGCGTGATCACCAGACTGGTCCCATCTGAGTGCATTCTGCCGTTTCCTATGCCCAGGTGCTCTCAGTGGTGACTGGCCACTACAACACATCCATGCATGACCTTTCCTTCCTTCCGTTTTAGAGACCTTTCCCCGGCTCTCTACTCCTGGCTGCTGGGACGGGATCCCAGGCTCTGCTTCCCAGGAGGCAGCAGACTGGAAGAAATCTTTTCCAACATGCAGGGGCTGCCATCTGCCCCAGTACAAAAACTTTCAGGGATCAGCAGCCTCATTATCACCTCCCTATCCCTGAGGGCTCAAAGAGGAAAACATCTATGTGGACAGGCATTTTAAGAAAAAAAAATTATAGTCAAAATTCCATCACTCCCTCTTTTGCAACTCTTTGAAATTTCATAAGGACTCATTGCTGACTCTGAACAGGTCACACTGTGCCGGAGACAGTAAAAATGCACCATGCATAATCTTTACTTTCTATGCTCCCCACAGGTGCCCAGGAGAGGTGGGGGACAGAATATTCTCCTGGAGTCTGTGCACCGTTGAGCAGTTCTGTGGGCTACCTGCTCATCCTCATCCTCCAGCTGATGTTGCAAATGCAAGAGATTCACTCACACATCATTGAATTCCTCCAGGGACCTCGCGGGCGTAAACACATCCAACAGACCGATGACCTGCAAGAACACAGTAAAATGTTCAGTAGGAAAGCAGTGGGCTCCCTCAGCGCCCACCAGGTCTGCGGTGGAAAGAGGACAGGTTCCAAATCCAGTTCCACTGGTGTGCGAGGACTGACTTGCTTACCCCTGCATTTCTGTTTTAGACCTGTTAACATCATTTCTTCTTAGGGATTGGGGGTGTTGAGGATTTGTTTTTAAATTTAAGATGTGTAGTATTTGCAGTCAAGCAAGCAAGCTCTGTCCTAACTGTGCAGACAGCTAAGGATGCAGCTGGTAGGCTGCCTCTCAGGGACTGGCCCTTGAGCAGGTGTATGAGAGCAAGGCTTCAAGTTCAGTCAAGAACAGGCCAGCTGACTCAGCTGGCTACCCTCATAGTGACTGTGTCTCTGTCATTTGCTACCATTAGACGTTTTTGTATAAAAGACTGAATATTGTGATGGCCTCTAAGAACCTGGTTATGGTTGTTGCTATTCTCTTTGGAGGTCAAACTTGTTGGAAGTTTTGTTTTTTAGATATTTAGAGTGTATGAGCATGTGATGTATATCCTCAGAGGCCAGAGGGAGGCACTGGATCCCCTGGAACTAGAATTACAGGCAGCTGTGAGTCACCCAATGTAGTTGTTGGTAACCTCTATAAAAGTACCAAGAGCTCATAGCCACTGAGACATCTATCTCCCAGGACAGTCTTGGCTCTTCACTGTTCAGAACTGCTTCTATATCTTAAGTGCCTAACAAATGTCTGCAGGATAATCTGAAAGCTGAGACAATTTCTGTATTAAATGTAAGTTTTCTGGTCTTTTCCCATCTCCCCTTTAAACATGTGAGTAGAAAAGAAAATTTAGACATTCAACTTTGTGCCTGCTTTTTAAAAAACAAAGCAACAGAGTTGGAGTGGTTCAGCAGTTCCAATCCAGCCAGAGCTATGGAGATTGACCCTGTCTCAAACAAACAAACCTTTAAAAGACAAAACCCACTAATATCTGAGTATGGGGTCTTCAAGACTGGGCCCTGACCATCCTGACATACAATGACAGTGCTGCTAAGCAGCAGTGTGCATAACCAAAACCCATCTTCTGGTGTGGCAGAGGGGCTCGGCCATCCTTTCAGGGCACGGAGTTCCATTCTCAACATCAAAGTCAGGTGTCTCACAAGCACCTGTGACTCCAGATGCCCTCTTCTGTCCTCCATGGCACTGCACACAAGTATATACACACACACATCCCCACATGTACACAAACACATATACATAATTATAAAACTTATAAAAAGTAAAACTCCATCTTTCTTCAAAAAATCTTATCATTTTGTGTATATGGTGTTTTTGCCTGCAATGCCTGTGAACCACATGTGCACAGTGCTAGCTGAGGCCAGAAGTGGGTATCAGATCCCTGAAAGTAGATTTACAGACCACTGTGGGCCAACTTCCACAAGCTGTTCTTTGACATCACATACACACGCACACATGCAAATACACATACCCACAAAATAAAGAGTTACATACAGAGAAAGGTACTGGGGGCTGGAGAGGGCTCAGCAGTTAAAAGCACTGGCTGTTCTTGCAGGGCAGCCAGGTTTGGTTCTCAATACCCACATAGTGGCTCCCAAGCACCTGTGACTCTATCCAGTTCCAGGGAATCTGACATCTTCTGGCCTCCAAGGGCCCTGCACCTCATGATTCACATAAACTCAAGCAGGCAGACACAAATCACAGAAACTATACATAATTTTTTTAAATTAAAATAAAAAAATCAAGTGCTTCTTAAGATCCTGGAATAAAACTACAGCTCTGGGAAGAGGCACCGCCATCATCCTCAAGCAGCACAAGCCAACCCGACAGCCCCAATGTGGTGTGTGTGCACCTGCAGCAGTGCACACAAAGCCCTTGGTCTGTGCAAGGACACGAGAACTTACATTCTCGTGTTTCATGTGCTTCAGCAGGCGCAGCTCTCTGTAGGTCCTTTTGGCATGAATGATGGACTGAAACGGTCTTGACAGCTTCTTCACTGCCACACGATGTCCTGTCTTTGTATCAAAAGCAGCACTAGGGAGAAACAACAACAACAACAATCCACCATTAAGAGTGCTCCAAAAACTACTACTAATACTTTCTAGGCAATTCCATTTCCAACTTAAATGTGTGGCAGGACACAGAAAGAACAGAGACTAAGATGAAGACTACAATGACTCCGCCCACTGTCTATATCAGTGGTAGCAAGTGCTTCCCAGAGAGGTACAGAGAGCAGGGTTTTATATTCTCTAGACCCTAGGTAAGGCTCCTCACACTCAGCTTGCGGTTGTTGCCTGAGAGCAGCTAAAGAATAAGAACCTATAAAATGGGTGTGGCTGTGTTAGAATACACTTCATGAAGCCAGGCAGCCATCTGTCCAAAGGAAACAACACTGATAATCTCTGTATATACCCTGTGACCAGGCTTCTCTGTCACCTTGCTACGAGATGCTGGTCAAAGGAAAGGCCTCAGAAATCACCCTGCTTTCAGAAGAAGAAGCTCTTTCCAAAGTGTTGGGCACTTTATAGACTGAGGTACAGTGGGAAGCTCTCTGGGAGCAGGGAGGAGTGGCAGAGAGAATAAACACTTATAATAGTGATGGACACGGGGACCTCGGAATAAAGATGGGAGAACAACACTGACAACGACAGCGCAGCACTGCCGTTAGCTAGGACGATGCGCTAACTTTCCTTTACTCCAGGAGTCCTCCTCTCACCCCCAAACCTACATGGATCCTCAATCGTTAGCTGTCAGTTTGATTTGTGTAACACTTGAACTGGTCCAGCCTCCTTTCTGAGCCTTGTCTACCTCTCTATGCAGTAAGCTAAGCAGACACTTCCGACAGTCCTGCCATCAGAGGGCGCTCTCTCTGCACACACGCGTCCCTGTAAGCACAGGTGTCTTACACTGTTTCAAAACCACTACTTCCCATTTGCTTTCCTGCTTGCAATTCTGAAAAACCCTCAGCCCTGCTGCTGTTAGCCAATGACTAGAATTTTCCATCACCCACCAAAAGTCTGTCCTATCAGAGAGTTTCCCTCCATTCCCAACTCCTGTCAACATTCTTGGCAACTACAACATCCAAGCGGAGGGCATATCCAACCCCTCAGGAAACTCCACCTCAGACAGCCCTTCAGGGCCGCACTCCAGCACCCCACCCTGCTTTTCGGTTTGCTTTAGTTTACTCCACCTTGACTACCGCGAAGCTGCCGACCTAATCTCCACTCTGTCTCTCCAGCCGCTCCTTCTCCAGTCTCCTAATTGCTCAATAGTGATAATCACTCCCTTGTACCCTCCCCTTGGATAGTCGAACCTCAGGTGACCCCAATCACTTAGTTACCCACGTCTGAATACAAGGCTAACTGTAGTTGAAGAAAAAAAATGTACAGACTAGATGGGCTGACAATCCTAAACTTCTGAACATAATTTCAAATATACCCTAAAATAGTGCCACCTTTTTCAAAGGGCCATTCTCTAACATAATCACTTGACATTTTTGCCTCTCAACCTTCCTCCTCCCCCAACACACACACTTTCCTTGAGAGAATATAAGCTATCAAAGGGAGTTCCATCCCTTCATGCACACCTGTTACCCCAGCTGCCCCCGGACCATGCTCTCCACAGCCTCTCTTGCTCTAAGGCATCCCCTCTGATCAAAACCCCAGATTGACAGTGTTTTGAAGCCAACCACATCTTCTCAGAGACATTTCTCTGCATCCCCCTTCTTTCCTTGTAATACTGGATTATACTATTTATATGCATATGTGCGTGCACATGTGTGTGTGGGTGGATGGATGGACAGAATGACAGACAGAGACAGACTGAGAACTGAACCCAGAGATACCACTGGCTCAGGCTCACTAAATCCACCCTCTACTGGGTCATTCATTTCAGAATATGCTCCAGAAATTTCCCATTTTATTAAAGTTCTGTGACTATACCCCACCATAGTTAAAAAGTTCTCCAAATTCTCAAGGTATGGGAACCATTCATGTTAGCTTCACTCGAGGAGTTAAAAAAGCAGAACACCACACTAAAACTGCAATCAGAAGCTGAAGAAAGGCCAGTGGTTTGCGTTTTCTCAGACCCTTCATGCACTAAAATAAGAGTTCCTAGCCTACATCTCTGCTGTTCAAAGTGTACTTCAGGGACCAGAGGCCCTGGCACTGCCCGAGAGGCCTCTGAGATGGCACAAATTCTCAGATAATTCATACAGTTTGGAATATGGCTTGTTCTCAGCTCCCGTTCCTCCTCCAATGCTGTCTGCTGGAACTGCTGCTCTTCCTTCCCAAGTCCATTACTGGCCCAACGACCACTTTCCTGGATTAGCATCTGGCATGGTTACCACTTCCGCTTCTTCTTATTAATCCCTACAGACATCCATATCAACATTTCTACAGGCTTTCTAGAACCGTCACTGCACTGTGTACTCCTGATAATGGAGTTCTTCAAGGGATGTCCTGGGCAGCCTCCTACATTCTACTCCTGACAACCTCCTCTATACCTCGGTTCAACGTGGAATGCCCTCCACAGGTGCATGTGTCCCAGCCGGTGACACTGCAGTTTCCTTCTGTTACTGTTATTAGACAAAGTCTCAAATAGTTCAGGTTTGCCTTAGGCTCACTAAATAACTAAAGGTAACTCCTGAACCTTCTGGCCCTACCTCCGGAACTACAGATGTGCCACCATGTCTAACTAGAGAGACTTGAAAACTCAGGAGACGGGAGGGCCCAATCAGATGGGCCTGACAACCTGAGCTTCGTTCCTCGAACTCAAATAGTAGGAGAAAAACAACTCAAAAATTTCCTTTGACCTCCACCCCCACAAATTGAACAAATATAACTTTGTTGTTGCTGTTTTTACTTAGGAGGTGGAAGTTGGTTGGAAGGAGGTGCTTGGGTTGGGCATCTTATCTTTTCTATCCCCATAATGCTCTGCTCGAGTCTATGGGTCCAGGCAACCACACAAAGACTCTGAGAAAAGAAGAGTTGAAGTAGCCTTTGCTCCTTTAAACCCTTCGTCAGGTCTCTGGTCACAGAAATGAGAAAATTCACCACACATCCCTCCCAAAGCCTCCCCCCTCCAGGTGACCACACAGCAGGCAGTGCTGGGGAAGCACGGGTGAGCGCTGAGAACCCCACAACAGCTCTCCCCTGTCACTGTCACTCCGGGTGAATGGACGACCATCTGGTTGCTCCAGCCACCCTTGCTCGGCAGGTAACGGTGCCTGTCACCAAGCCTGATGACCTAAGTCCAATCCTACATGCTCCTCACCCCCACACACACATACACAATTTCAAAAAAAATAAATAGGGCCGGGCTATGATGGCTCACGCCTTCAATCCCAGCACTCGGGAGGCAGAGTTCAGGCCACCCTGGTCTACAAAGTGAGTTCCAGTACAAACCAGGGCCGTTACCCAGAGAAGCCCTGCCTCAAGACACTAACAAACAAATAAACTGTGACTATCTTAAATCCGAGGAATTTCCTTGGTGTAGAGAATAAGATGTAAATTTCCTATCACAGCCTAAAAGTCAGATGAGATGACCTGGTCCGGCTGCTCAGCCCATCAGTGCCCATATGTGCATCCCATCAGGACATGACCTTCTCCGCCCAGGCCTACTCTGGGTGTGCTGCTTCTTTCAGTTCCTTAACCCACTAGGACAGGACAGGCTGCTGCTCCTGTTCCTTCACCACCAGCCCCGACTTAAACCACTAGGACAGGCTGCTGCTCCTGTTCCTTCACCACCAGCCCCGACTCACCCCCGCCCCCCAGGATGTACCTACTTGGCCTGAGGGAGACTCTGGGAGTCTTCAGCCCTCACGCTCCACACACCCTCACGCTCCACAAATCCTAAGAAGACAACCCTCCTTTTCCACAGTGTGTGAGTCCTGACCACTCTTTAAACTCAGTTCTCTAAACTGGTTTGTAAGTGGGGAAATGGCTATGGCTCCTGCATGATGTGGCTTTTCAACTTCCACCTTGAGTGTCCTTCCTTGGGGTGAGCCTGTGGGGAGCAGGGAAGGCCAGCAGTGTGACTGCACATACAAGTTCAGCTAGGCTGGGGAAACACGACAGCTGTCCATGACGACCACCTAGGCAGGCCATTCTCAGCTGGCTCCAGAGCAAGGCATGCATGTTCTACCCACCTGACTCCACTCGCTGGTCAGTGGGTGACAGATGCTTCACTGGGACTCAGCAGCTCCCAATAATCACAATGATTATTATATGTTTATTTATCACCCACCAGGTAGTTAAACAAGGGCTAGGCTCTGGAAGTAGACTGTCTGGGTTTTAATACCAGCTCTGCCACTTAATAACCGTATAATCTTGAGGAAGTTAATTAAATTCTATCAACCTCATATATAAAATAAAGATGATGTTTGTATCTAATCATAAAAGTACAAGCTTTTATGGCAGGTTTAACAAAACCCTAATTTTGTAAAACTCTAATACCAGACATTAATAACAGCTGCCGTTGCCACTCACCCTGGGCATCTTGAGGGCAAGAAGTGCATCAGTTCCCCTCACCGTCATGGTACAAAGGGCTTACCCTAACTCCTGGCACTCAGGACATTCTCCAGAACTGTTTAACAAAAATTACACCAGAGAGTATTTTATAATGTAGTTATTTTGAGATAAGGAGGAAAAACCTCAGTTTCCTCAGTTGTCTCTGAAGAGTTCCCTCAGGGCTGGACACACAGCAGACAAGTGCTAGTCAACAAACTGCTTTGTTTTATTTCAAGACAGGATCTTGCTAACTTGGTCTACACGGGCATTAATCTATAATCCTCATGCTAGGCACTTGTGCTGGGATTAGAGACCAGCCACCACTCATGGTTTATTGCGTTATTTTTTTTTATTGTTACAAAGAAACAGTAAGTATAATAGCTGATGTCACAAAACTTATCATCTATTTGTGATAACAAATATATATGATTCCAGGAATGCCCAATAAAACAGCCAAGAGACAGTTTAACATTACTCAAAACCCAGTATCTGAATATATATACAATATATATATATTGCCAGGTG